ACAAAGTAGCAGGTGGCCAGGACAGGAAGCTGAGCATCAACCGGCAGTGAAGGGAGGCTATGAAATCTCAAAGCCCTCCCACAATGACGTACTTCCTCCAGAGAGGCTGCACCACCTCCCTAAACAGTGTAGCCAACTGGGGACCGAGTATTCAAATATCTGAGTTTGATGGGGGACATTTCTCACTAAAAGCACTGTGACTACTTAGGAGTGACTGATAGCAATCTAGAGGGTTTGTGATTTTACCACTGAATTCCTTAGCCTAAACCATTATCTGGCACACCAATTGGATGAACAGGGTTTGCTGAATGAATAAGTTGCAACCTGATGCTGTGTTGGTTTGAACCTGAAATATCCCTAACAGGTTCACCCTTTGTTTATTTGCAAAAGGGCCTTGAGGAGTCTTTAGGAGATGGGGCTAGGTGGCAGAAGTAGTTCATATTCTCTGTGCTTTCTGACCTGCCGCCATGTGAACAGCTACGGTCAGACCATTGCCATGAACTCTGCCATGCCTTTTTCCCTATGAAGGACTGAAACTTGTGAGTGTAAACTGAGTAAGCTTAACTGTTAAACTGTTTCTTCAAGTATTTGGTCACAGCCACTGAAAAGGATGTAATGCAGATTTAGAAAATAGAAAACAAGTATTTCTGTTGTTCTCAATTTCAAGATGCCCTTTTTTTTTTTTTTTTTTTTTTTTTTTTTTTTGCTGGGATTAAAGGCGTGCGCCACCACCGCCTGGCTCTAGATGCATTTTTCATTCATTCATCAAATATTTCCAACTTCCTACTGTGTTCCTGCCTAGATACAGAAGAGGGGACTGTTCTCATGAGGCTCAGTCTGGTGAGGGAAGAAGATCCCTGCTCTTTATCACAAACGCACTGATGAAGCAACCATGCTGGGAAAGGAGTCCAAGGAGCACCTGGCATCATGGCAGGACAGGAAGAAATACTGAGGCGTGGTCCTGGGTAGCAGGCTGAAAGCTTAGAGACTTTGTAAGCAGAACAAACAGCCCAATAGGACTTGGAGGTTGGAGAGACAGTGCAAAGAGGAAAGGACCAAACAAGGCCAGCCTGT